CTTCATTACTTGAAGACAACCATAGAAAATTTTCTTCCTATTCAATGCCACTCATCCACCACCATCACTGTCGGCTCTGATGTGGACTGGGCTGGCTGTCTTGACGAACAAAAATCTACAAGTGGCTATGCCATCTTCTTTGGTCCAAATCTTGTCTCTTGGTCATCTCGCAAATAACGCATCATCGTTCGCTCTAGCATTGAAGTAGAATATCAGGCTCTATCTGATACTACTACCAAATATTTTTGGCTATAATCTCTACTTCAAGAACTTCATGTTCCATAGCCTATACGCCCCCACCTTGTGGTGTGACAATGTCAGTGCCACTTTCCTAACCGCTAATCCAGTCTTCACAACTGCATGAAGCGTATTGAAATAACATTTCACTTCCATCGTGATAATGTGGCAAAGGGAAATCTCGAAGTCAATTTTTTGTCAACTAAGGACCAAGTAGCTGAAATCTTCAATAAATCGCTTTCTACACTATGTTTCCAATTCCTTCGGGAGAAGCTCAGCTTACTTCATGGCACCGTTCGGTTGCAGGGGGTGTATTAAAGATAGAGATTAAAGATAAGGATGAGTATCAACCAACTATATCATATCTCTCTGTGATTCTCCAAAGTTGCCATAGAATACAATCCAACCTTCCAAGATTTGTACTCATCTCTATATTTCTGTCATTCTAGAAATGTATTAGTAAGTGTAGATTAAATGTGTGAGGAAATTTGACATTTTTCAAGTTCTTTCATGCGCACACCCATCCATAAGTTTTTAGCATTTTTGTATGAGAAGATTAGTGGGTCGAACTGAAGCTAATTTGCATCAACAATATAGTACTGATGACTAATGATGGATGTAGAGGGACAGTTGGGAGGAAGATAAGCCCTCCAAAGGGTTGGAAAATCCGCTTGCATGTTATCATTCAGTGTAATACCCAAACTTTAGGGTCGTCTTTATTTTAATTTTCCAAAAAAAATGTGTCTATCCCCTAGACTAAGTTTTTTGTTTACATCTCTGTTTGGTGACACGCCAATGGATGAAATTTGTGAAGTTTGTAACTCTCGGGGAGAGAGTCACAATCGGTGGTGCAATAAACAACATAACTACGAGGAAAGCACGTGAAGTTTTATACATGAAAGTGAAATTTTTAGAGTGTTTTATGGCTTAATAGCATCTTCAGAGCACCAATATCTAAAGAGGTGAAGATCCATTTACCTCAAAAGGTGTTAAACATAGAATGATGATCTTTGGTACAGCTTCATCTCTTTTTGCTATCAGCTTACTGAGAACTTAAACCAGATCATTTAAGGACATGACTGAAAATCTATCTGCTATCCAACTAAAGCATGTATCTATAGAGCAAAGATCAAAATTTAATTTTTTTGTAATCGAACTGATATAATATTTTCTATTTTTCAGGAAATTGAATGAATCATTGAAATTTCTATGTATTTCAAGATATTTTGAAATTTTTGTAGGTGTTTCAACTAATATTTTGTAAATAAATTTTTGAATTTTTTTCTTGTTTCTATTCTACTCCTAAAATGTTCTTTAAATGTTTTTGGTTTCAAGCGGACTAAAATAGATCACCGAAATATAATTTTAATCCTTACTTTGGGGTGCATTTGGCTTGGGTGAAATGAAAATCGATCAGTATTGGATGAGACCTAAATAAATTGTGTTCAAACATTCTTGTTCAATTATTTGGTTTCATATGTTTAATTATCATAATGAACATTACACTCCGTATCTAGGTTGTGTTTGACATGACTTCTAACAATAAAAAAGTCTATTATATGAATAATACATTGTGCATTTATGTACACACTAACATATATGTTAAAACCAAAAAAAGGGGGTTAATTGCCAAAAATCCCCTTGTACTTAGGGTGGAAGCAGATAATCACCCTCAATTGTGAATTTTTTACTATCCCTTGAATTCGTGATCAAAATGTAAAAGTGGCAGAATCCATCAATTTTAACTAAGTGTGACGTATATGCTCCAATAATACACGTAAAATGCTAGGCCAACCCAAATCAATGACCAAAACTATTATCACTTCTTCCTCTAGTGTCTCTACCACCATCAATCTTCAAGTCTCTATAGAAAGACCACCACCTCCATCACAATACGTTGACCCCAAACGAGCCAAAACCCACCACCCCCCTCTGTCATCTTTGAGTCAATATAGCATCCTCTCCAATGGCATAATCGTTTCCAAAATCAACATACAATCAAAACCAATTTGAAACTCATGCTACTGTTGGTTTATATTCGTCAACAGGCTCCACCAAATTCAAAGAACTTTGTGTATAGAGATATGTATGTATATGTGTGTGTATGTGTGTGTGGAGGTATATATATCTATATAATAAAGTAGAACGCAATTTGAATCCAAAAGACAAAGAGAGGTCTAGATCGTTTTGAGACAAAACATAAACACATCCAACGAACAATATAATTTAAACATAAAAGACGATTAAGATCATCTCAAAAAATTTGATCTAACGGTCTATAGTGAATACTGAATTTTTTTTCCCACCTAGCAACATTTCCTTTTTAAATTTTGATTATGTAATCCTAATTGATTGTTTGAATTTATTTTTTCCAGTTCAAAATTTTGAATAAGTCTTTCTTCTCATATAAAACTCTAGACTCCTATCGCTTATGTATCTCTCTCTCACTCATACGATGTCTCTCTTTCTCCCTCCCTCAGTCTTCTCTCTTAGTCACGCCTCTTTTCGCTCTCTCTCTACGCAGAAAACACACATAAAAACACTCACACACACAAACCATTGCTGACTCTCTCTCCACTGCTCATACCACTCGGACTGTCTGCTGTAATTCTTTGCTGGTCCAATTGATTCCAAGTACATGCTGAAACTCTCTATTTCTCTCTCGCTGAAATTTCTGAGTTTTGCGAACCAGTGGGAAATGCCATAGGTGTTGCAGAACATAGGAGGTTTGAAACCCCCATCCAGAAGAAGGGCCTTCAAATTATTGTCATGGTTCTTTCTATGGCTATGGTGAGCAATTAAGGAATCATTCCACTCTGCCTCGCGTCACAGCCTCCATCAAGGTGCAGTCGCTACAATGGTTCACAAATATGCCCACCCCATGTTTGATAATATGCTTCAAGAAATCTTCCCTTTTTGAAATTGGGATTGATGGTTTTTTTTTGTTTGTTTTTGTTGCTCTGCTATAGGAAAACATTGTTCGACTTACAAAGAGTTGGAGTAATTTCACAAAACTCACAATTATTGTTAATGTATAAACTTGAGATCTTTGAAAATGTCATGTTTTTCATCAAAATTTACGTATGTTATTTGTGAAATGAGACTGACCATTTTCTACGTTTTTCAAACCTTGTTAGAGTTTAGGAGGATTTTCCTACAGTGCTTAGTGCTCACCCCCTACTAATAATATTTTTTTTTTTAGATTTCGTGCTAGAGGAAGATCCCGACATTGACGGGCCGGTAAATTGGGAGTTTCCACCAGAGGGTAACCTAGATCCCGAGGTGGACATCTAGAGCTATAGTTTATTTTTGTGCTAGACTAGAGAATTTATTAACGATCATGTATAGTCTAGTATTTTGTTTATTCCGCTGCTAAGTTTGAGTGTAATTTTTTTGGAATGTAAGTGTCATAGCTTGACCTATTCTTTTGGGATGATATGGTGGATATTACATGTGGTGAATGAAATTTTATTATTTGATTGGTAAATGGACCCGGTGTGGTCAATGTATTATAATTGTACAAGTTGTGTTTTGGGTAGAGTTCCCCGTACAAAGAAGACTCTGCTCGAATTTTTTAAAATTAAGGAGCCCTAGTTTTTGGGATGTTATAGATTATTGTGAGATCCTGGTGTCCCACATCGATTAGGGAGGGGAAAGTTGTTGGACTTATTAGTAAGTCCCTCGCCTTACATGGCATAAGGCCTTTTCCCAGGGGTACTAGGAGGAATAAAGTCGTGAGGGCCAGTGGGCCTAAAGCGGAAAACATTATGCCATGTGGAGGGTGAGGTGTTACAAGTGGTATCAGAGTCGACCCTCGCCTCGATTGAGTATGAGCCCCTGCCGTACTCGCGTGCATGTGGACGGCAGGTAGCTGGCGAGCTGCTGCATGGGGATGTGCAGCCCTAAGGGGGTGGATTGTAAGATCCTGGTGTCCCACATCAGTTAGGGAGGAGAAAGTTATTGGGCTTATTAGTAAGTCCCTCGCCTTACATGGCATAAGGCTTTTTTTCCAAGGGTACTAGGAGGAACAAAGTCGTGAGGGCCAGTGGGCCTAAAGCGGACAATATTATGTCATGTGGAGGGTAGGGTGTTACAATTATTGTCTTTGATTTTCTAGTCCCCCAAAAAAATAAAATAATAAAAGAGATGAAAAAGCTCATGTCACACTTTGCTTAATCTTTTTTATGCCATGCTTTTACCAGATAGGAGCACTCAAGAAATTAGTTGAAGAGGGTAAAATAAAATATATCGGTCTGTCTGAAGCTTCACCTGATACAATCAAAAGGGCGCATGTTGTTCATCCAATAATAGCTATACAATTGGAATGATCCTTGTGGACTAAAGATGCAGAGGAAGAGGTCATTTCCACTTGCAGGTGAAGCATCTTGCTTGTGCCAAATGCTAACTATTATGTTTAGGAAGTGATGAGCATTTCAAGTTTCTAAGTTCACTAATCTTATAAATTTTCAGAGAACTTGGCATTGCAATAATTCCCTATAGTCCTTTAGGAAAGGGCTTCTTCACATCAAGTCCACAGATGGTTGAAAAATTGCCAGAAAATGACTTCAGACAGGTATATAGATCTGATAAAATTCTCTCTTCACCATTATTTTGAGGTTAATTAATATTCTGTTAGGAGCATTGATCTTTGTGGTTTCATGAAGTTTCTTCTTCTATCTTAAAAAATGATTCGTTGACATAATGAGTCACCGTTGTAGTTCTTATGCTAAATTGTGCGTCTATTTTTTGTTGACTGTGCCAAGGTTCCAACCCGAGAATGTCGAGCATAACAAAAAGTTGTACGAGCAAGTTAATGTAATAGCAACAAGGAAGGGATGCCCTATATCACAGCTAGCATTGGCATGGGTCCATCACCAAGGGGATGATGTTTCTCCCATACCCGGCACCACCAAGATCGAAAACTTCAATCAGAATGTCGGAGCTTTATCTATAAAATTGACACCCGATGAAATGGNATGATGTTTCTCCCATACCCGGCACCACCAAGATCGAAAACTTCAATCAGAATGTCGGAGCTTTATCTATAAAACTGACACTCGATGAAATGGCTGAGCTTGAATCTATTGCTACAACTGATGCGGTGAAGGGTGAAAGGTATCCATCTGCACACATGGCTTTCACTTGGAGATTTGCAAATACTCCTCCTCTGTCCTCTTGGAAAGCTAAATGAGGATGATCTTCTAGATGTGTGCTAATACTGCCTTACTACTTTTGATGAAATTCTATCTACTTGTGTCTTGAGAATGTTAAAGTTTTGAGATTGCATCCTAAGTTAGAACTATGTTATTTTGATGAATAAAGATGAGCCACTTATTGCTTTTTTCATCTTGTCCGATTAGTAAATTTGATTGTTCATACTATCTTTAATTTAGCTCCATTATTTTTTTTTTCCAAAGATCTTGTTACATCTGAAAATTCACTTGAAGAAATCAATGGTTTGCATTCTATTCGACATAGAAGTCTATCTTCTAGAAATTGCATTAAAAAATGATTCATCTTGTATAAAATGAAATTCTCTCCTATGATCGATATTTGGGATGAGTTTTATTACCAACGAGTTAGCCGAGTGCATTAAGACCGACCGATTTCAATTGAGAATTTCAACCCGAGTGCATTCTATTGCATAACATCTATATAATATTACAGTTAGGAAGTTTAATTCTCAACTTATAAAGCACAACAATAGTAAAAATTGATCTAGTTTTTATCTTATTTATATTTATTCATATATATCTATACTACTTTATAAATGTCAACATTTGTAAAAAAAAATTTAATTTTGTATTTTTTTTCTAATTATTATTACATATTTATTTCCTTCATATTTAACTATCAATTTCTTTTGGACTCTTTATTTGACTTCAAAAATCTTTTGAACTCGTTATAATCAATATTTATCTATCGATCTATCCATACAAACTTGTGATTTTTTATTTTCNGTCAATTTCTTTTGGACTCTTTATTTGACTTCAAAAATCTTTTGAACTCATTATAATCAATATTTATCTATCGATCTATCCATACAAACTTGTGATTTTTTATTTTCTTCCTAATTATTATTATAAAGTTAATTATACCCACATACTTATTTTCATCCAATATTTTTTTAATAACTATTTGGTTTCCAATTTCTTTTTGAATCTTTTATAATAGTATATGACTTTGAAATTCTTTTGGACTCATTCTAATCTTATATTAATATCTATATATATACTACTTATAAATGTTGTGAAAAAATTTTAATTTTCTATTTTATTCTTAATTATTATCATAATATCAATTATACACCATATATCTTTATTAATGTCATTCTTTTTTCCTTTTATGTCCTATTAACCTACAAATTTTATTAATTTAATTATAAATATAATTTAAATTTTTTTATAAAAAATATTATTTAAATATGTTCACGTACAACGTACATCGTGCATTGTTAGTTTGATCAAATAGTACAAAATTCATCCCAAATATTTGTCCCTGCTCAAAAATACTATTTTCTCAGTAAGACGTCTAGCGTCAAATAACTCAATCAACACAGTCGTCAATGTCAGACAACTCCATGAATCCACACCTACTTCTCTATTTTCTCTCTCATACCTCTTTTAGTTTATCTATATTCACTTTAATTTTAAAACACGAAATTAAAATAAATAAATTATTATTTAAAATATAAACATTGCCCGATCCATGCTTGATTTTTGGTATTGCAGAATGTCTTCAGACACAAGATTATTGCCATTGAGTGTATATGATAGGAAACTACTAAGGGATAAGTATGAGATTGATTGTATTTTGAATCGGGGTTGTTTAAAATTAAAATTCTATTTGTAGATAGGAACTAATTTGAGTTAAGTTGAGTTGAACCTACTCTAGTTGAGTTACACGTCGCTTTGATTTGGTTCATTTATAAAAATTAAAAATAAGCTTAAATATCTAATCAAGTTGAATTAATTCTATAATCTAAATAAGTTGAAAGAAGTGAAACCGAGTCAATTCAAAGATCGAATTTAAGTTGCTCAGATTGTTTAATAGTCCCAAGTATAAAAGTGATGAAATCAAAGGGATCAGTGGAGGTGATTGTAGAAAACTCTTCAGATTTTGAATAATGATGGGTACAAGGAACTTTACATTTTCAGGTAAAAATGAACAATGATGGGTACGAGGAACTTTACATTTTCAGGTAAAAATGAACAACAATCGCAAGGTTTATGTGGTTGAAGTAACGCATAGTTTTTTTTTTTTTTTTTTTTTGGGAGGGGAGGGGGAGGAGAGAAGGGGACTTGAGATCTCAAGAAAAAAAAATCTTCATAAAATAAGGAGTACTATTGGATCAAAGGTCTATTGTGCATAGCTTTTCATTAGTCGAAGACTTGGTATATTTTGTTAGTGATGGTGCCAAACTGATGTGAGTGAATAGAGTGCGTGGGACCAATGGTGAAGTTAGGCTGTCAACTTCGTAATAACAGTGATGAAGTGTTTCTTAGGGGATAGGGGAATTTGCACAGTTGAAATATAGTGGTTCACCGGCTCTAGAGCTGGACTAATCCACTTTCAAATTTAGGTTTTTGCTTCTTTTCTTCTCTACTGATTATTTGAATGTAATACAAGACAGTGCACAAATCCGATTATGGTTCTTCTTTTTTTTTCCACCTCTCTCAATGAGGTGTTACATAGTATTTATAAGGCTGCCCCTTATTCCGTGAGATTTCAGCCGAGATCTTTGCCCATTATACATGGGATCCTCCTTGACTTTAGAAGAGAATCTTAGTTGGTTGAGAGTTTCATGCATGGGGCCCAATTTTCGCAGTCATCCAGCTGTTTCCTGGTCGGTTCAGCTACGATCTTCCCAAGGGGAGATCCACCCCTAGTTCTCTGAATTCCTCGTATCTTTCCTGACCTCCTGACCTGAGCTCACAGTTAGGGCTTGTTTGAGGTATCATTAGTTGCCCCCCAGCCCCTAGTTCAAGCGGACTTGGGCAGGGGTTGAACTGTTTTTTAAACCAAGCAGGATCTGCACATGGCTGACCTTAGCCTGCACGTGAGTTAGGCCTTTTTGACGATTTTCAGCAATCATGGCTTCCTTGTTTCCCATGCACATTTCGGTCCACGTCTCTCAGCCTTTAAATGCTTAAACGACTATCTGAACCACCCTATTCCACTGTTCAACTTCTCTGCTGCTTCTTTCCTCTTGCGATTTCTTAGCTTTCCGATTTGGAATTCTCTGATTTCTCGTTCAAGATTGAGTTTTGTGGGTTCGATTTGAAGATTCGCATTGCCCTCTTTCTTCCATTTCGCTCTAAGCTGCTGTTCGTTACTCTTTCCCACCTAGGTACGCCCTTTTGTCCCTTTTTAATCTTTTCTCGTTCTGGATCCCTCAAATTCGAGGTGGCCATTGCATTTCTGGGCCTTTCGATTCTTTTACTTTTGGAATCAAAATTATTGCTTGTCTCCTCTCCCCCACTTCGTGGACTGGTCTTCTATTGTGCGAATCCTTGTTGTTGGAAGCTATTGCGCTGACCCTAGAGTTATTAGGGAGTGCTTAATCAGTATTCCTCCTCTCTACCCTTCTTTCAGTTTACCTTTCTCCTATCTAGTCATGTCTACTCCTTCTAGAGTTACACGCTCCTCTGCTTCTCTCTTGGGGGAAAGGTCTGCCAAAGAGGACACTGATTTAGGGGGATGTAGGCGAGAAAATTGATAATTTTTTCGGTGTGGATGTTATCGATGCCGAGGAAAATACTGAGGAACCATCCCCATCGTCTTCTTCTGTGCCCCCTAATCCTAACAAAGGTAAGGGCAAGGTGAGTGGAATATGAGTCTCTGACAGTGCAACAGACATAGAGGCTGCCTTTAGGCATGCTGAGCTCGTAGGACCTAGTGACGTTAACTCTTCTCACGTGAGAATTCTCAGTGCTCGTTACGATTTTCCTCCTAGTGTCCAACCCTAGTGTCTAAATAAATACACCTCATACGTTACCCAAGTTCACAAGAGAGTATGTTTCTTTGCGGCCGCTTTTGAGAATGGTCTTCGCTTCCCTATGCATTCCTTCATCAAGAGTGTTTTGTAACACTTCAATGTATGCCCTGCTCAGCTCTCTCCTAATTTTTGGGGTGTACTTGTGGGTCTTCTTGTTTTATTCAAGGTTCATGGACTCGGGGTCCCCAACCTTTCCTTACTTGTGGATCCTTTTAATGTCAAGCTCACCTCATCAGAGGGTTTCTTATATATCTCCAAGCGAACCACGGCTAGGTAGATCATTACTCACCTCCCAAGCTCCCATGAGGGTTGGAAGAAACAATTCTTTTTTGTTGGGGGCACCAATTGGGAGTACAACCCTACTGACAGGACTGATACTCTGGGTATTCCTAGAACTTGGTCCGCCCCTGATAACTTAGGTGAGCCCTTGCTCGAACTGGTTGAGCTCTGGTTTGGGAATCGTTGAGTCACCTTTTGACCTTTGCTCTCCTTGTGTTGCTTTTCAGGTATTCGACCAGAGCTCAGTGTTGAGGACGAGAGGGTAAAGCAAAAATTGGAGAAGTGCAATCCAGAGAAGTACTCCGAGCTCATCAAGCCCTAGGTCTTAGTAACACAGGAATTCAGTCCTCCTGAGGTATCGATAGAAGCTCCACTCCCTATCTCAGTTGTTAGGCCTGAAGACATAGAATGTAACACTTTCTGAGTTGGTTCTCTTGCCTTCCTTTCTTTTTTCTCTCTCCTGTTTAACTTGCTCGGTCCAGATCTTCCAGGCTCCTCCATAATGAAATCTACCTCTGAGGAACTCTAGGCTAAAGTTGACCTACTGAAGAAGAGTAGGAAAAGTGGCAAATAGAAGGCCGATACCAACTCTGGAAGCAGCCCTGTTGACAGAGCTAAAGTGAAAAAGCTGGGAGTGTCCTCTTCTCCTGCCTTGAGCAAGGGAGGACAGACTTCCTTATCTGAATCCCTGGCCCCTTCTCCT